ATTCAAGCAGTTAACAATTATTGCTCGCTCAATTTTTCCTTGAACGTCAACCTACTTGCAACTCATCTACTCGACGCCGAAGAAACTGATTTACGTCGGTAGAGTTGTGCAAAGAAATAAAGAAAAAAAAATTATTTATCATTCAAAAGGCCGGAAAACGCTGACACGGAGTCTCAGCGGAGAAACACGTTCGATTTGGGCTTCTTTTTCTGTCTCTCCCTCTTTCTTCTCGGGAAAGAAGGAGGAAGAAGAGGTGGAGGAGGAGGAGGAGGAGGAGGAGGAGGAGGAACAGCAACCGTCTGGCTGCGACCTCGCATTTCTCATTGCGCGGAGGCGCCGACGAAAGTTGGCGAACCCCGACACTACCCACTGCTTTATCTATATTCGTATGCAGAGCACCGTTCCGCTATCACCATCTCGGGGACGACAGATCCCGTGACAAACTCTGGGGGTAATTTTTCCTCGGTGAAGATTCAACGAAAGTTGGTAATTACGCAGTTGGTTAATTTACCCTACCGCTTTAGTCGACAGTCTCGAAGGGCCTTGGCGAATTCACCATCGTAACGGGCTATTGTATCGTTTCCTTTTCCTACGCGTTAGCTGTCAAATTCACAGATAGAATTCGTCTAACAACGTAAGCGCGGAAGAATCTAATTTTTTGTCGAAAAGCCGCCAAGTCATTTTCATTAAATAGGAGTTAGAGATATACCTAGTCATTTACTTTACGTGAATTGAATGCATCATCGCTGCATGCACTGTGACATCCAACGTGTGTTAAAAATAGAGAGAATAAGAGGACAAAATTTGAAAGAAGATTACAAGGAGATTAAAATACCAATTCCCTAGATATTCTTATTATTTTGTCTTTATATATTTAAACTTTCAGCATAAATAAATAAATATATATTGAAAAGTTTAAATATTCATATTTAAAGAACAAAACTTTGTTGATACTTTTATTCGCTAGGTGCAACAATGCATTTACAATGTGCGGTTGAAATTAGTCTTCGAATGTCGTGTCTTGTTGTCTTCCTATGTCGTTCCATAATTGACACCGCGCTCGCACGCGCTACAATTCGAGAGATCTGAGGAGGAGGACAACGATATTCGCTATGCGCGGCTACGCCACGGCTCGCAATAGCTCGTTTTACCCTCTCACTCACTCACTCTCTCTCTCTCTCTCTCTCTCTCTCTCTCTCTCTCTCTCTCTCTGTGCATCTCGCTGCATCTCCAAAGGAAGCCTTGGGAACGTGCACTAACCCTATGCAATGTGCGAGAGACGCGGTGTATCTTTCCCGACTGCCTTTCTCTCAATCTGCCGAGGGCCGTTGCTTCCTACGATAAACAGTGCAGCAGCGAATACAATTCGCAAAGCGGTAATGTCGATTCTTCCGTGTCGCATGGACGAGAGGATTCGTTCTACTATTCCTATCAATAAATTTGGGTAAATTTGAGATGGCTGAGCAGACGTTTCCCAACGCCTCAAGATTTTGCAATCGATTCTACACTGAGAGAAAAAAATAGTTGGAATAACTATAATCTCACTATATTTTATAGTTCGTTTTGGCCTCAAACATATATTTATAGTTCATCTAAACATGAAGTTATAGTAGAATAAACACAGATTTATAGTCACCATCTTATTACTCTATATATATGGTAAAGTATCTTTTGGGAATATAGTTACATGTACCTATATTTGCCAAATATTCCAATTGTATTGACTATATAAAATAGTTAATTTCTCTTACCATTCAATATTTGCTACCTTACTATAGTTTTTATTTCAAATAATTATAATTCTTGGTAAAAATTTTACAGTTATACTATGCTCATATTGTAAATATTACAAATATTATGGTAATATTTACTGTAAAAATGATATTCCTAACTATAATCTTTTTACTATGCCATTATAGTTCCAAATATCATACATTTTTTTCTCGGTGTAATGAATCCCGAGTGCGTCCTCGTAGAGGCAAATTTTCTTTCGGTACACGCAATGAAGGGCGTGTTTTTCTCGAATTGTTTGTTGTTGATAATTTCGTGCATTCGAGCCGCCCTCGGCACGAGCCACGTACAATTACAGCGAGTCATTTCCACAGTCTTCGCGGAATACCTCGAGCCGGCAATTACGTCAATTACAGGGTGACTTTAGGTTAATAAATACTAATGCTTCGCCATCCGGTACGAACGTGTTCACAATAGAATGCCGGTCGAAACGCTCTTAATCGGACCGCCAGTCGATGCACACGAAATCAACGAGTATTTTTCTTATTATATACAGTGATATTGCATTGTGTGTGCGCAAACCGGATAGTTATCGAACGGCGATATATGGAGTGTTTTCCATTATATCCCTGGATTTGCATTGCCCCGCAGTACGAGAGAAAAATTGTTGGTTCGTGCAGATACACAAAAAACTCGCAAACTTTCTTTTTTTCATTGAAACGGACGTTTCAGACGTGCGCACGATTGACAAATCGTCTCTATCTTAATATACAGGATGTTTTACGGGAGAATGTAAATGTACACAACATTCTCCTGCAAACAATCACATTCAAATTCAGTCAAATTTTGAGTCATTAATTCAAGGAAATTGGTGAATAATCGCGCGCTATAAAAACGCTGTGTGTGAGAACTATTTTTGTGCGAAACGCACTATCGTTCACCGATCTTCTTGAATTAATAACCCAAAATTGTACGTGATTGTTTGCAAAATAGTGGGGGAACTCTGTGTTCAGTTTGACCTAATGTACACGAGCGTTCTCTCACCTGTCGCAAGACACCCCTCTGTATAAACACCAAGGAAGCGCAGGAAGCTAAAATCGCAGTGCATTGCTGTTTGCGAGAACGAGCTGCTGCCGAGAGATTCTTTTTCTCTGGTGCAATCCGAGAAGTCGTGAGCTCGCTGAACTGCTTCTTCAAAGTAGCGCGTCTCTTTACAGAGACGCGCGACCACAGTTGTTCTGGGCAGATTCGCAAATATAATTTATCGCGATCGCAGTGACATGGCAGGTGTTAGAACGTAGTATTTTAACCACGCTGTATATCGGCCAATCCGTTTAAAACGATCATCTATGTGTGTGTGTGTGTGTGTGTGTGTTGTTCCGTTAACGCGATTCGCAGGCGAGTTTCTATGGTTTCGGAACCGACCCTGTTCCCTCGGCTCTCCACCACCCCATCCCCTTTTGTACGGGACTCCACCTTTTTACGGGCTCGCCACGAGCCACCGGAATACCGAGGAATTACGTTCGTTAACCCCGATTGATCCCGACGTTTTTGTCGTTGCGCGCTCGCTTTATTGGCGAGACTTCTCGTTCTCGGCCGTTCGCTTGCACTCGCGAGCGCGAGCGGAGTGCGTCGTTTATCGACCAGACATGAATTCGGTTTACCGTGACGCTATTATATGTGGACGCCACTCGCGAATAACCGACTGCTGTGAAGGAAACAATGCGATGTGCATCGCATTTCAGGAATAAGATCGGAATAGACTTTCTGCGCGCACATGCACGACAAGTTAAATATCTCTGCGTGAGAATATTTTGAATCAACGATCGGTGAGTTAATTTTTATACCTGAGAGTGTTGTTCTCCTTGAGTAATTCCTTTACTGTTTTGTAGGACGAGAATATCTTCTCCTTGCAAAAGATTAGGATCTGTATGAAATCCGGTACTTCTAGCCCTAATTTGGACATGTGCTCCGACTCCCGTATCGCCTCGTATATGTAAGAATCGAAATTCAAAAAGTACTTGTTTGTTTGATCGCCGACTTCGCGAAATGCAGAGAGGCGATATTGCGCGCAGATTATTATTGAGAAGCGTCACGTAATAATAATGCGGAACGTTAACGTAAATTAACGTTTATGTATATTGCTGTAATTTGACGATTATATAAATGAGATATGGATCAGTTTTCGTAAACTTTGTTATTTAAGAATCACCTCTGGTTCACTCTAAGCGGACGACTTTTCAACAAAAATCTCATCGGATTCCTTTTTCATTAGCTTCTTTTCAGCCTCATTATGAGGAATTAAATTAGTTCCAGGTAAATTAATACGACAAAGAATCTTAAAGCTTCTCTTTCTGGAGAACACGGAGAAAATATATATTATAATCTGTGTTTTTTTTATAAATTACTACATGTTAGTACAGGTTTAAAATATTTCGGTTGGAATCTCGGCTAAAGAAATTTAGAATGGTTCGTGTCTCAGCTATGCCGATTTTGTTGAAATTATTTAATTATATCTTGTGTTCAATTTTATTTCTTATGCATTTTTGTTGTACTTGTTGATGATAGGAACGGAAACATTAAAAAGCTATAAACTGCCCGTGAAACTCAAAGTGGGTCAAAATGAAAAAATATGACAAATATTTTTTGTATTTGTATATTCGTGCCAAATTAAAAAGAAATCAGAGTGTAACTTTTGGATAGGTTTACTTGTTAGAAGTAGGAAAATAAACTGAGTAACCATTTTTTTTCCTAGCAGCAGAATTTCCCTGAGTGTGTAAACTTATTTCTCACCATAAGATCCTCTCCATGTATAATCTTGTTGTTGTTTTTGCCGTAGACGCACAATCGATTAGAAATGATTTTCGGGAAATCTCATCGAGTGTTTGCGCAGCAGCATCCCGCGTATACGCGACGGCTTTGTCTGTTGTTAGATCGAAAGGCCGTGCAACGATATGTCCGAACCTTTCGCGGTTTTCGCCACCACCACTCCCTCGGAATAAACTATCCGTCGGCCACCAAGTGCCGTTGCAGCGTCGTACTTGCAAATTTATCGATCCGACCTAACGCGGCCGTAGGTAGCGTCGCGTCGCGCCGTGGAGTTTCGTTAACGCGCGGTTCAAACCAACGCGAGGTGGAGGAGAGCAGCAGTCCAGCACGCGACCTAGACCCGACCTTCCCCAAGGTGCGCGGGCGAGGGAGGCGGGCGCGGAAGGGTGAGGCCGAGATGGCGTTCTCCCGGGGGGTCACAGACGGGGGGAGGAGGGAGAGAGACGTCCGGAACGCGCGACTCGAGCGATGTCGCTCGCGAATAAGTGCGAAGGACACTACACGGACGGTCGCTGCCGAGTCCCCGGGGTGACATCTTAATCGCGAATCGAAATTAGGAACGAGACGAATGCGTCTCGCAAATAAGAGGGCAAAGTCGCGTTTTCATCGACTTTGAAAAGAAGGATAGTCAGGTAATTATATATTTTCTTTGCAATCTCCAGGAGCTGTGTTTCGTACAGGATTAATTTTGCGGCGATATAATGATCCGTATTCCTCTCCTGTGTGTGTGTGTGTGTGTGTGTGTGTGTGTGCACACGGACAGGCTGAAATACGCGTTACAACTATTCGCATCGGCAAACTCCCGCTGACAGACCGCATCGAGCGCAATAATTATATCGGCCTTCGCGAGCAATTAGCGTGTTTCATGCACTTTGAAGCGCCTATCGCTCGCCCACGACTGACTCTCCGTCCGCGAGACGCGCGTGAGAACGGAATTTTGCGATCCACGTGAGCAACATTTTACTTGTTAATGCAGAATCACCTCGCAAAAGGCTGGGAGGGAATACGCAAAACAATTTTTTCTCTCTGGTTTTTAAAGAACACACATGATAGAGCGCGATACGCATAAGTTGCATACAAAGTGCCAAAAAGACAAAAACAGTTTTCTTGAGTATTAATCGATAAAAATTTTCTTGAATAAATCAATCGTTACATACAAAATCGCGAATAATTTAATGGACTGACATAGTTAATTATTGATCAAACTTTGACTACACGCTGATTAATAATTAATTTCATCAATCCATATAACTATTTGCTATATGTGACGACTGATTAATTTTTATTGTTAATTTTCTGATTATTTTAGTCAAAGAAAAGTTTCACTGATTGATACCACCCAACACACCGATTTGAATATTAAAATATGACTAAAGAAAAAAAAGAAGGCCGACAAAAAAGGCAAAGAAAGAGGCAAGGATAACAAAATCGAGGAGCGTCGAATAGTGAAAAGATTATACAACACACGTTCTCGCGGAGTAATTAAAGAATATAAAACAAATAACGGAAAATAACAATAGAGAGAGAAAGAAATCGCGTGGACACGGAGAACGCGACCGAAACAAAGAGAGGAAACGAAGGTACGTCAGTGTGTGTGTGTGTGTGTGTGTGTGTGTGTGTGTGTGTGCGTGCGCGCGCGCGCGCGCGCGCGCGTGACGAGGGTGTGGAGAAGCTCCTCTGTAGGCGAGGAACTCGCCGGTGGTTCAGTGAGAGGCCGATCGATCGCCACGTTCGCTCATCCTCCGTGGTTTCGCCCTCCTCTAGCCCTCCGATCAGTCACTGCACCACCGCGTTCTCACCCCTTTTTCCAACGTTCTCTCTCTCTCTCTCTCTCTCTCTCTCTCTCTCTGTGCAGGTCTCTCTGTCTGCGACCGAGCATCGGGTTCTCTCCTTCGTTAGGGCCGCATCGCGCCACGCACCGAGGCAGATCGAGAGATGCCGTCCCTCACGATTGCGCATTGCAGTTTGGACGTCGCCTCGATATTCCGCGACTCTGCTAACCGACTCTGCGGTTAATTAGCAATTCGATATCCCTTTCCGGATTTAGTCGCGCGTATGCGCGACGAGCGTCGGCCGACCGACCCGACCCGCAATTTGCGAGGTTTGCTTTGCCGCGCGCGCGGGAATATCGCACAGTTCAATCCCTCCACATCCGTTCCGGACCAAAACTGTACTTTTTCGCGCGTCATACGACACGCAGGTGTGCGACGCAAAGAGATGTATCGTTGCCGCTCATCCCGTTGTCCCGGCTTATGGACATATCGTGATGTGAATCACTTTGCGTTGTACGAGTGAGATGAAAAATGAAGAAAATATGTGGATTTTGTCGCTTGTCGCGACGCGTGAATTTGGTATTGTCAGCGAGCTGTCGGTATCGTTGCTGTCCTGTTTTATGGACATGTTTCGAATGATTTTTTGCGTTCTGTGTTCGAGTTTGAAACGAAGTAACAAATATTGTCAGTGCGAGTTACGAGGTGTTGCGACAAAAAAAGAAACTAACCGCGAGTCTTTCCATTATTTTGTCCGTAAAAAGGTCTATAAGAGTCAAACGCAAGATTAAGGCGCGCACAAAAATTAATAATTGTCAGACTAAATAAGATACAATCTAAATAAAATAAGTTGGACACAAATGAAAGAAAAGGCGAGTTTTTACTTAATTTTATCTGCGTTTAAGCAATCCGATTATATCGTAATGATATTTTTACTATTTTTGTTATTTAAACAAAGAAAAACATTGACAAGTGTCCAAAGCTGCGGCCAAAACTTTTGTACGCGATATATATTTATTACACGTGTCTAATTTGTGTTTTGTTCAGACTGACAACCATCAAGTTTTACGCACTTTCATCTGTTTGATTTTTATTACGGATTTAGTGCATTATAGATTCCTGCATTCATTTTTTAATTATTTGGTTTCAAATTAGTTTTTTTTAATTATTTCCCTTTTTTCGTACTCTTCTTTCACATTTCAGATAATGCTGCGCAAGTGTTAAGCGACTGTTTATCACGGCAAATGGAGACGAAAACACCATCCAGAATGGTTTGGTCACCTCGCTCACGTTACCGGTGAGATATCAGGATAGAGAGTGGGAGAGAGAGAATAACGGAGGTGCGAAGGACCGTTAGCGGACCACGGCAAGGAACTAGATACACACGGACGGTAATTTCGATTTAGAGACTTATTTCGAGCTTCATGACTTTCTGTTTATACCCTGTCAGAAACGGGTCCTCGACTGTGCGCAAGTAGAGACGGCAAATGAAACTTCGCTCTGCGAAGACGGAAGCGAAGACGAAGACTACGACGACGGCGCGAATCTACGGAAGTGCGCCTTCTTGGTGCCGAGGCTCCAGTTTACTCGGCGCCGTAATGGCCCTCGAGCGAGATTAGAATCGTCGCGGGTTCCGGACCGTGATGCAAACTCCGAGTCGATGCGTCGACTATCAAGGTCCATTAACACCTCTCCGATCTATGTTCATACCGTACTGTGCTAAAATATATGCCGTGGGATTAAGTGTCCGCAATGTTTGTCCGTCTGATTTGCGTATTCGCACCGATGTAGCATCGTTCGTCGCAATCCCTGCTCTCTCTCTCTCTCTCTCTCTCTCTCTCTCTCTCTCTCTCTCTCTC